CCTACCATATGGAAGTCAGACATACTTCCACCACTAAATCGATTCTCGCTTGATGCTTGTGTACTGGGACAAACTTAACTGTGCATGTAAACAAACTGACTCGCTCTCTTTTTCTCTTCATAGCTTCATCTGTCATCGTCCTCTTCCGTCTCTTAGCCTCAGCGTTTGTATCAAACAGTACAGAGGGTTGCTGTGTAAACTAGTGACATAAAGCAGTACACACTTCTCACCAGAGCCAGCTGCCAAAGTTATATAGTGCTGAAACAGGCGACAGGGTGCTTTGTGGACATGGGATAGGAGCACCAGGTGCATTTCCAGGGGGAACAAATCTCTTTCATTTCTGGTCAGAGGATAAGGACTGAAGAACAAGGAGGAATGAGAGCAGCCTTCATAAACGTCTTCTACTAAAATCCTAAAGTGTGACTTTGTTACATAACACCATAAGATTATTACTTTAATTACGTAAGAACTTCTTGAAAACCAAACCCTCTCTGCAAGTGTAAAACTGACACTATAGAGATCTCTACATCCTCGGATTGTGAAGTGTGGGACGGCTTCCTAAGCTGCTTTATGTAACGGGCTGGAAGTGAGAACATTTTCAAGTGTAAATACACTGAATGGATCTTCATCGTTTTATTCTAAAACGTGCTGAGGAATTGTTTTTTTTTTTAATGTGAGTGCTTTACATTAGACAAAAGTGCAATATTCATACAGTTTGTCGTTATAAATGTTGCCATGTTTTGCACTGTAGCGATGGCTTTTAGCTCGTGTCTCATACACTGTGTCAATGTCACTGAGCATAAAATCAGTTTGTGTGCCCTGTTTAGGAGCGCAAAGTCACATGGACTACTTCTGTGTCTATCGATTGTCCTGTCTGTCCGAGGGCTGGTTTGATAGCTATCATGCTAGGAAGCAGGAGCTATGGCAGTCAATAATCCATTTGAGTTCATGTGTGTGTGTGTGTGTGTGTGTGTGTGTGTGTGTGTGTGTGTGTGTGTGTGTGTGTGTGTGTGTGTGTGTGCGCCACTAGCCCTGCAGTAAAATATCTTCACACCAGTTCAATGTCTGTGTATGTTAGTCATGCTCTGAATTATGTGGCAGTCAACGGACTCTGTTTTTCTTTCCCTGTCGCTCTCACAAACCAGCACACACACACACACACACACACACACACACACACACACACACACACACACACACACACACACACACACACACACACAGCTGGTTGCCAGTGGCTGTGTATTGTAGCGTGGTATTAGATGGATCCAGTGTGTTCTCAGCCAGCAGTTTCATGTTAGATGAGTCACATTGCTGGTGTTGCATTGTGGTGATACAGTGATGAAGAATACTGGAGCATAAGAAATAAAGCTTCCTCTCTTTTTTTTTTATAAAACTGCAATAAGAGTCAAAGCCATAAATATGTTCCTTTTATTGGTATAGCGTCTTTCAGATATTTTACTTTTTTAGAAAATGTAAAATAATGGATTTTAACTTACTAACTAAAAATACATTGTCTGCAGTAGACCGGTGGTTCTCAACTAGCCTTGCATCATGACCCACCACGTCGTCCTTAATGAGAAATTTCGACCCACATTTTGAAACACTTCATCCAAGCAAAATTATTTAATAATTTTTTTTGCAGTTTGTACCTAAGACTTTTTAACAAAACAAAGAGATTGAACAAAACATACTCAGTATAGACTTTTTGCTATTTTTCCAGGCCAAATTTTTTGACCCACTGAAAACAGCTCGGCATCGGCGACCCACTTTTGTGTCCCAAATCTGACAAATCTGTCTGACACCTCCCCCCAACAGCAGTTTCAGTTACTCCTGCTCTTTAGCTAACAGAGTGACTTCACTTAACAACCCAACTGTAGTGTTACAGACTCTTTAGATGATAAGAAACTATTGGCATGTCTTGACTTAAAGGGATACTTCCCCAGTTGAAACATGAATCTGTATTGACATTGGGTCATATATGTAGTAGAAATGTGAAATAAATTTTGAAGTTGATGCCTTCTTGACCGAAGAAAAGGCAGAACGTGTCTTTTTGGCTCATGTGAATGAAAGACACCAAATCCCAGAATGCACAGCACCGCCGACAGGTTGTTGACTGATTCGAGCACAAGACTTTCAAAATCCCCTTCATCCATATCAGTGAAGTTGAAACATACTTTTATTATACTTGTGTTATTCTTATCGTTCTCCCAAGAGCCTGTTAGCATAGCGACCAAGCGATATGGCGGACTTGTCTTTTAGATTCTGCGAGTGAGGTCACACCCACTGATCTGTGATAGGTCTGTAGCTTCAGTGCAATGAAAGTTACATATCGTCAAATACCTTTAAAGTTGAAGTAAGCAGAAAGTCAGTGAACTGTAATGGATGTAAAATACCAACGAGCCCTCTGCGTCCGCGGAGGATAGCTGTAGCCCTACAATCTAAACAACCAAGACTGGATTTTAATCTTCAGCTACAGCTACAAGCGAAAAAGAACTAATGAAACGAAAAGTAATATAACGAGTAGTGTAACATATTACTGCTGGCAGGGAGTAATAAGTGAAGTAATTATATTACTTTTAAAAAGAGTAACGAGTAATGAGTAATATATTCATTTTCTTCAGTAACCAGCCCAACACTGCTGCTGCGGAAAACAATTAATAACATTAACTCGTATTTCTCTGTCAGACACCAAAATGAGTCGTGACCAAAACCCTGCAAGAATCTTTGAAAAAGGGACATTAAAATTAAATAAGTCAAGTTAGTGGCTGTGCAGCTGCAGAGAGCGATGAGTGTGTATGAACATCAGCTTCACATTGCAGGGCAGGAGCTGACTCCCTCACAGCCTGATAAAACACAACAGGCAGTGCAGGAGGCTATCAATACCCTTAATGAGTAATTCTGTATGCAGCCTTTCTTTGCATTTTAGCCTTCAGGTGCACTCGTGAGGATTCTCTGCTCGTAATCATAGCCTGTGTCTCATTTGGGCTCCAGGATGAGCTCAATTGAAATAACATGTCAGAGAAAAACCACAAAAATGTATCTTGTTAGTTGGCGGCGCCTGTTCAAGAGGGACCTGGTTCATGTCATCTGCCTGACGACACACAACACAACAGAAGACATTTGGCATCGTTTAAGTGGAGCAAGAGCAGTTATCAGCAAACATCAGAGGAGAGGGAAATGAGGGGGACATCAGGGTGCAGCCAGTCTGCGGTCATTCTTATGTAAGAGTTGTCTTGGTGGCAACAAAGAGCCCCTGTCTTGTTCTGCCCCTCCTCATCCGTCAGTCTACCGGCTCTGAACCCTCTCTGCTTCTGTTTTCCTCCGCTCTGCTCACATCCTCCTGTCATGTTTCCCTCTTTCGTTTCCTTCTCTCCTTCTCTTTGCTCATCCCATGAATCAGCTGTTGGCAGTCCTGGTGCTGCTGCTCAGTTTGACCTAATGCTTTTTCTTCTTCTGAGGAGGAGGATGGATGGATGGATGTCCCCGAATGGTGTTTTCATAATCCTGGCACACAGATGGAGAACACGAAAAGGACAAATCCTTTTTTAAATTCACAAAATTTAAATAAAAATCTAATTAGACATAAAGACTAAGACAGAACCCTGAAGTCTAAGGAGATATATATGTTTGACCTTCTCTGACTTCATGCTGTCCGATAATAGTTTGATCATATAAACACTAAAACAAGGACACATGAAAATGTTCACATAGATATCGTGCCTCACTGCAGTGATAAGGGTTTTAAAATGGGGGGGTCGTTTAGTTTAGTCTAATGGACAACATGCCATTGGTTATGGGGAAGAGAGTATTTCACCTCTGATCAACAATGTAATCCTGAGTGAAACCTTCATAAACAAAGGACCCACACCATCAGCAAGAGGAGTTGGAACAATTATTTAATGATTTGTTGTGAGGGGAACAAGTTGCAACCTCTGAGGAACAATTAAGCTAATACCAAAGTGGAAAAGCTGCAGTCCCTTGAGTGTCCTTGAGGCTGGCTGCAAAAAGGAAGTCACATACACACCCATTCAAAACCCTGTTTTACAGCAGACACAAGTAAACATGTTTACAGCCTGGTTTTTCAAAATACAAACAGGGCAGTTAGCTTCCACCAGGAGGCTTAAGGCCCGCCTCAGCTAAAACGCTTTGCCTGTTACTAGGATGACTAAAAGTTACATTGAGACCGCATTTTCAATATGGCGACCACCAACAAGTCTATTTCAGAAACCAATGAGTGATGTCACTGTATGATTTTACAAAACAGTCTGTTCAGCTCCCTCTTTTTGGTTAGATATGACCTCAATGACAAAGATTTAAAGGATACAGCATCACCACAGAGGGCTCTTTCATAATGCACAGCAATCAAATCAAAGGGCTTGTTCTGTTTACCAAACAGACCCGGAATGATCTGCTGACGCAACCCACATAAAATCATCTAAAAGCACATTCTAATCAATGACAAAACTAGTGCAGTTGCAAGAGGAAATATTTGACTCTGTGCAAGTTTGTGCTTCAATGTTTGTCAGGAAGTTGTGTTGTAAGTTACTTTCCATGCTCGGGTTGCAGTGTTGGTTTAAAATCCTAAAATGGAATTCAAACCCCTTAAACGACCTTTTATTAGTTAATGTGACAAGGACCTCTAATGGCAATTTGACATAATAATTATGTCCCTTAGAACAAGGGTCATTATAATTAAGTGCATCGTTATTATGCAGAAAAGATAAAAAAAAACTTCAGAGTAGATGGAGGATGCTATCCACTCATTTTCCCGTTAATTAAACATAAATTTAAATTCAGACCTGGTTACTAGTTTGAAGTTAAGAAAACACAGGATTGCAGCAGCTGCAGGCTAACATTAGCAAAGTTAGCACCGGCAGCCTTCAGCCCTCCTTGCAGGTTGACATCCACATGCATGTGCTGCTGCTGCTCTGGTCGAGTGTTTCTTGTAAGTCTAACCTGACACACACATTTAAAACTGTTTTGTTTTTCTCTCACAGTGAAATCTGACAACAAGGACAAACAAGAGAAGGCGGACTTCATGTCCAGCAAGACCGACGCTTTTGACAAAAAAGAGAAAGACGAGCAGCAGAAGAAGGACAACGCAGCCGACAAAAATCAGAAGATCGTCAAGGATGATGACAAAATGGACAAGATGAATGCGGAGAAGAACAACAAGGCCAACGAGAAGGCGGAGAAAGTGGACAAGCCGGAGAAGACCAACAAAGACGAGAAGAAGGAAGAGGAGAAGAAGCCGGCCGAGAAGAAGGAGGAGAAGGGAGGTAAAGGGACGGCCAAGTCCCCGACAGGAAACAGTGGCAAGACCCTGCCGAGCCCTGACAGCAAGAGCAAGGTGGGTCACGCACATGCCAAACATACACACACACACACACACACACACACACACACACACACACACACACACACACACAGAATACAACTATCCACACAATCCACACACTTTAAGCGTCAGTGTCCAGTGGTTACAGAAACAGCCCAGTCACGTAAAGGTCAGAGCTCTGACCTCTACCACATCCTGTGTGTTCAGCAACAGCTTGCTGAAGTGTCCTTGAGCTAGACTCACAAATCCCACCTACACAAACACAAACTCAAAGATGCTCAGGCTGAATCTTGCAGCGATGGCACAACAACATCAGCCTTCTACGTCTGCAGACTCGTTTTGTGTGAATGCATACCTGCCAACATTTAAGTGTCACAATACTTGAGGGGTGGGGGTTGAAGGGGTGCAAGACGTTCTGCCTGTAAGACGTTCTCTGCCTCCGTCTGTCCTTTAGTTCTGAAGGTGAGTATGGTCGTTGAGCCCTTCTAAGCTGGGTCACATCATTTCTTCCACCGTGCTCTATATATTAAAATCCACCCTGCACACTTTGCAAAAATGCATGGCTACTATCCAAGTGACCTCTGGTTATAAACTGAAATTGTTCAGTCCAGCTCTACTTAAATTTGCAGGCATATATATTTTCATAAGTATATATATATATATAAGTCCTGTCCTTCATCCATCTTTCATCTTGAATCGTGTTGTGGGGGACCAAGTGGCTGTGGTGTGTGTATATCATGATACATAGACTAACTGGCAACGTTGGTATTTTCAGACAAGAAAACAATACATATGGTTCCATGTATGAGGATTGTTGAGGATTGTTGTAATGAAGTTGTAGTTGGAAATCAAAGGAGTTATCGTGAGAAATAGAAAAACGGGAGAGGGCCTTGAAATAAGTGTTGGTGGCTGGAGATTGTGTGATTTGTTTATGTGTGTATTATGTGAGTGTCTGAGTTTGTCTGTCTGAGTATTTAAAGTAGTTATCTGTGTGCAAACAGTGGAATAGTCTACAAAGAGAAATTAATGAAACTTCAGGTTGAAGGAAAACAAAAACAAGTCAAGGGTTTAACAAGGGTGCACAGAGGATCTGTCATGTGGACTTAAGTATGTGCAGGGGCGTGTCTAGACGTTTTTTGACTGGGGTGACCCACCTGGGGCACCAACTTAGGCAGGGGTGGCATGAAGTTTGTGGGCACCCACACGTATATGATATTATTATTTTTACCCTTTCTATCCCTACTTATAATATGTACTTATAAGTAAAACGATTAGAAAAATATAGGCCTACATCTTCTTAGCTTGATTTCTTTAGGGACTCAAAAACAAAGATGTTAATGCAAAGCCACAATTTATGTACCCAGAAATTACATGCAAACACTTGTGAGCTGTATAACTTGTAAAAATAAATTTATTGGCAAGTAAGTCTATTGAAAGTTAGACAATGTTTTTGTTTGTATTTATTTACAACTGACAGTACTAACTAAAAAATGTACTACATTAAACTACACATAAAGAAAATCACCACAAGCCTATGAAAACATCCAGAATAGTTGGATTTAGGTGTGGCACCTGGGGTGGCCAATCACATTTCAAGGAGGGTCCATGCCACCCCTCTGGACACGCCCCTGAGTATCTGTAGAGAATATTATGGTAATTATTGTACCCCCGTAGGTGTATTGTCTGTTTGCTGAGTGCCAGTCCTCTGGTATTAGACGTATTCGTTCATTCACATAAACTGAGACATGATCTCCATATCATGCCTTTAGTTTGGACTGCTACTCATTTCATCAGATTTCAAACTTTATACTTTATGATTGACAGCTCATGGTCTGTCAAAGAGGCTAAAAATTCTGATTCTCAGATTTCAGAATTGATGTCAGATTGTTAAATGGCTGTGCTGCCATACCACACTGTCATTGCAATCAGTGGTTTCATGTCTGCTTTTCCCTCTATCTGTCCCCCTTCCCTTCCCTCTACTCCTTTTACACTTATTTTTAATTCCATCATCACCAGCCTGAGATGGTTTCATCGAAACCAAACTCAGCCAGTTCCCGCCCATCCACCCTCTCCACCAATGGCGTGGCCACTTCAGCCAAACACCCCTCCCCCTCCACAGCCCCAGCCAATAAAAAAAGTCCTGCCCCCAAGGCGACCACACCCACCGCTGCCAAGCGGCCACCAACTGGCTCTGCCAAGGCTGCTAAGGTGAGTTAAAGACACATGAGTTGCTTCAAGTTGCATGACGTCAAAGAAAGTCAAACTAATATGAAATACACTACATTTGCAATGATTGCTTGTGATTCTGCAAAGGTTTTGGCTAATCTTGAACAGTTATACTGAACCACCAGAGCCTGGCTGACCTGACTGGAGCATATGGCATGACTTCAGGTTCCTCTCAATAGAGAACAAACCATATGACATATTTTTGTAGGCCAACCCGGAAGTAGCATCGCCATGGGGTCTAACGAGAATTCTCCCATGGGATTTTTGCATTGATTTTGGATCATTGCAGAAAATAATCTCTGGCAAACACACGTTTCTGATGAGTAGGCGTTTTGTTCATCAGGATAATCTTCAGAGATGAACACCATTTTTATGATGTTTGAAGCGTTAATGCGGCCGACAGAAGTAAAAAGCTAACGTTACGCTACAAGCTAACTACACCACGGTCGGACGATTGTGACATCACTAGCGTTATGCTTCAGACGATCTCTGATAAACTAATCTGTGTAGTTTAATAAATTGTTTATTAACATAATATTCACCTTAACCCAAAGATTAAACGTACAGGAGATCACAGACTAGTGAGAGAGTTCCCGGCCTCTGTGTCCGGCGTGATGACGTTTAATGTCCCCGACAACCCTGTAGTCTCATTTATCCACTTGTTAGCAACCGGATGCGTAAAAACTTCAAAATTCACAAGTAGGGCTATTACCTAATGTAGGTTATGTCGTCTAACAAAACACCAACATCTCTTAAGCTTGTGTTAACCACAGACCTAAACACAAACCCATTCATAATTCCCATTGACTTTTAGACAATAGTCCCCATGGCGCTCAAATGCTAACTTACTCCCGGGTTTTAGGGCTCATTCCTGTGGCGCTCTATGAACTTGCCAAGTAATGAAACTTCAGTTTTGACTTTGGAGAAACAAGAAGAAGTCTGACTACAGGTGGAGGACAAGTGTAAAAGACAGATTGACGAGAGGAGCACAGGCCTTTGTTGTCATTGTTAATTGCATCAAACTACCTCTCTCTGCCAATTCTTGCTACTAATCGATGCATGAAATGAATAGACAAGCTTTCAACAGCAAAGAAATCAGGGTTTTTTTTATGTCAGAGCATTGGATGTATTGACTCATGTTTTTAGCAAACTAACAGAAAAAGACCTTTGTATAACCTGGATGTTTGTATTTACCGCAGTGACTTTCCTAAGTCCTCCTTCCATCATTCCTTGCCTCCCTATTTTCACAAGTCTGCCCCTTCTTTCTTTGCATTGCTTTCATTCTCTCCCTACGTCTTGGTTTATGTCATTGGCACCTCATAACATAGAAAACAGGATAACTAAGCTCTTATCCACACAGGAGCGGTACATGCAAACTTACAGTATGTGTTTACATACACAAGAACTCACAAACTCAAAACCTGTCAAAACACACACCCACAGCTTTCTATCTCATCTCTCCTCTGATTTTCAGACTCCAGAAAACGGCACAGCTGAGAAACGCCCACCTGTGCAAAAGGCCATGCCCACACCTCGCCCGACGGCCAATAAGAATGGCTCCTCTGCAAACGCTGCCAGTAAAGCTGCAGGTACTTGGATAAACACACAAAAACACACACACACACACACACACACACACACACACACACACACACACACAAACACACACACAGCTTGTTAAATAGAAAATCTTCTCTGTTAAACCTCCAGTGGCCGTCTGCCCTCTGTCCCTAATTGTGTGATATCCACACCGTTGTCAGTACAGTATCCCCACTGAGCCTTAGTTAGTTCACAACAGCGCCAGAGCAACATGACCTCTACAGCAGGAACTGAACTCGCTACAGGAGCCAGAGAAAATGACTCACATGTAGTCTGGCACCTCTGCAGGCATCAGGCTAACTGAATCGCTGCCATATGTTGCACTTTATCAGATTTAGGTGGAAGCTTTTGAAGGCACCAGTCGGGTATTTTTAATCTGCGCATCACAAACAGTATCTCACCTCTCGAAGCGACAGAGCTATGACTCAGTCTGAGTGGTGTTAGTCAAACAGCCTTTATGCTTTTTGTGCATTTCAGCTCAGCATCCTATGAGGATATTATTTATTCTGCTACTTCACAGTGATGGTCTGGAAGGTTCATATTTCATTTATTACATGAGTGAACTGTATTACTTTTGGGACTGTATACCTGATGGCAGCAGTTTTTCTGGATTCAGTAATGTTACTGTTGCGGGACGCAGATAGCAAAGCGGTTAGCTGGCACCCCATGGACTGCCTGATTAGCATTTGACACATTTTCTCACTTTACTTAATCTCTGTCACTTGACCACCGCTGCTCTGTCTCTCTTGCTCGTCATGGTAGTTACAGGAATTTAAAGAAAATAGAGGGTCATTTTAAATCCAGTTATTACTGGTTTTACTAGACTGCTAGCTAATTTTACAAAAGCAATGTTAGAGCATTACTATACATGCTACACAATGTGACATACTGACTGGTTTGTTTAGCCTTTTTTTAATGTTTTTTAAAACAGCAATTACAATTTGTTTCTTGCTCAGGTATGGCACCCATCAACCATGCGTTCTTTAGTCTAATCATGTGGCACCAGACTAGACCTGTACTGTATTTAACACTAAAATGGTCAACCCTTGTACTTAAATGAGGGATTCCAAATTTGACGTGTCAATCAAGCGTTTCTAAACTCATTGTTTCCTTCCTACAGCAAATAAGAATGAGAAGAATGAGAGTAAGACAGGAGAGGCCAAGAAACCCAAGACTGCAGGTAAGGACCTAAGATGAAAGAAAGACAGCGAGTAAAAACACAACTTTACTGACAGATTGTGTCGACATTGGGTCGTTGTAATTTTTAATGGCTCTTATATAAAATGAAGGTTATCGACAGACATCTATACCCAGGTTTAGAAGCTGTTTGGAACACATCTGGGCAGACAATTTAAAGGCCTTGAGAAGACAAAATCTGAAATTTGTCTTTGAGAACATTATATATGTATTGAATAAAAGTTGCTTTAAACATGTGAAAAGACTGAGAACTATGTTCAGCTGAAGTATCGATTCAGACCGTTAGAACGCTTTTGCAGCTCTGCAGCTACCAGACCAATTTCCAGGCTTGGTCGGCACTGGGACTTGAACATGCTGAGCTGCTGACGCCCGATTGTTGATACAAAAGCACTTAGAGCTTTACCATCCTCAGTTCTCCTGAACTACTGCATTGCAATCTGCAGTTTTGCTAGCGAGCTATGCCTTCATTCCCGCGTGCTTCTTTACTGGACGACAACATGACGTCAAGAACGGCTCGGTTTGTTAACTCAAATTCCCTGAGGTTGAGGAGGTCAGTGTCCTCAGGTTCAGAATCTGATTCTGGCTCTGGATGCTCAAACATGTACTGTAGGGCTGGACAGGACAAATAAGGCATCCAGATGAACCCATAATTGTCAAGTTGTGGCAAATTTTGAAAGTTGAGAGAGGGGCTTGTTTCCTTTGAGTAGGCATGGTTTCAGTGTTCAAATGATAGTGTCCCGCTGCACCCCTAGAGCAGGTTGTGGGGCCTAATATTTCATGATTTTGAAATTTTAAATACTTTTTTTTGAAGTCCACAAAAGATGACGACTGCAGCTAATACCACCATGATTTTTGCACCACTTGAAACCATTACCTGCCCAGTCTTCAGGTCTGCGTCAAATATTTTTACACTGATAATTTTCCAGAGAAAACATGCCCTCCAAGTGTTGTATGCAGCCAAGTGCATTTTGCCCTTGTCATGTGACTGATTGCCAAGAAGAGCTGTCAACACCTCCTCTCTCCACTGCGAGACCTCATGCTGACAAGAGTTCAGTTCCACCCCCAGATAGATGATGAGTCGTGAAGGAAGAGATGTGAGGAGTCCAGTTTATTATAAAACTCAAGAGATGAGATGTCCACTTCATTGTCTGTAGGAGGGCCTCCTCTTAGGAGTGAACCAGCAGGAGTAGGTCATATAATCCCTGACCGGCATATTGTTTCCAGACCTGTTTATACCATAGACTATATATAAATATGGACAACATCCCTCAACCTTCTCACATTGTATTAAAGTGAAGCCAAAATACCCCTGTGATCCAGCGACTGTGCAGTCGGCACTCACGTTTATGGAAGTTCAAGTAGTCAATCATGCTGTCATCATCAGCTGTCAATCATTGCATTTAAGACCTTTTTAAAGGATGTAATTACTAAAAAACTAAAAATTGTATAAACACAAACAAGCATGTCAATAACTTAATTACAAAACTGTTTTGAGAAGAAATATATTGGGCGTGCATTTTGATTTCATGCTCCTCTTCTTTCCCCTCAGTAGACAGAGGTAGTTTACTTCTTACAGATATTTTATAATATGGTCACATGTCACAGGAACCAATATGTCTTGATATATTTATTTAATGTTCATCACACTTTGTAAGCCAAGCCAATGTTGTTTTGTCATCACTTTACTTTTGAGCTTTTAGATTTCAAACAGTGCAGCGAAACCAAAACAAATCTTTTTCTTCCTTTTTTAAAAATTACTTTCTCGGTAGCTCGTCCTCGCCCTGTTTCCTCCACCACTCCTGCTTCTCAGGCTGCTTCAACCAACGGGGACGCCGCTCACCGCCGCAGGGTCATCACCAAACCCCCTGTGCCCAAGCAGACCCCGATGGAGAAGAAGCCGCCAGTGCCCCGTGCTCCCCGAACCCCCCGACCCATCAACGCCCCAACACCTGACCTGAAGAACGTCCGCTCCAAGATAGGATCCATCGACAACATAAAGTACCAGCCGGGTGGAGGAAAGGTAAGACACAGCCGTCAGTATGGACAAAGGTCTGTGAATAACTCGACCTGTCGGGATTCCTTAAGTGCTGCAGAGGGATTTTCTTGTTTTAGCACTGTAACAGACATGTTTCATAACAGGGATCCGTGTGTCAATGACGCTCATCTTTTGTCTGTTTTATTTAACTGTATAAGGAGACTCTAGTCAGCAGGGTTGTTCTTATACAGTATTCCACAGAAGCCTAGATTAACATCAGGCTTCAAGATAAATAAAGGTTTTATTTTACTCTTTTTTTTTGTCAGTCCACATGACCCCCACATTTGAACAGATGCAGCACTATCTTAAGTTAGTGTTTGTTTGACTGCACGTCTTATAAAAGAACATGAGATCTGGATTGAGATGGAGAGAAGAGGAGTTATCACATCAGAAATGAACAAATACGATTTTGAGAAGTATTTAAGATCAGTAGGAAACATTACACTGCCTTACCAAAATTCAGGAAGTAAACACACACAGCACCCTGGAGACATCACATATGAGTCAGTAAAACCTCCTCTGCAGACTGCAGACATTGTTTTTTGGAGGTCATTAACATTGCATACTAATGAAGGCGATGGAAACTATCTGTGTTTCTATTTCGGTCTTCCTGTCTCCATACTCTCTCTCTCTCCTTATTTAACGGATTCTTACATTCACCTTTGTCAGTCTATGAAGTCAGCATGTAGCATCGTCCTTTAGTCATCGCTTCATGATGATGAGAAACAGTTTCTCACACTTCCCACCATCCTGAAAGATCCACCTTTCTTACAGAGTCTCAGTGTCCCCTGTGCACCAACCTTGTACTCCCTGAACAGAGTGTAATCTGTTCAGGAGTATGCACACTGCTACCTTAGAACACTTACGATGAATGTGCAAAGCATGTCATGCATTGACTTGGCCTGTGTGTTTGTATACCTAATGTTTGTGACAGGGTGTCTCTGGTGAACATGGTGCCGTTGTTTTGGAACATCAGCTGTTCTCCATCTGTCCTGCTGCTTGATATGATTTTATCTGTCAGGTTTATCAGGTTTCCACCTCCACTGAGTTCTCTTTCATTAAACAATAGTTGTGCAACATGAAGCTTTCTGCTCTCATGCTTACTTAATATAAGCCAAAAGAACAATTTCTGTTTAAATAATTAAAGATGTTGTTCTTTTTTTTGTATTGTCTAGATGTCTAGATAGATACCATTCTCATTTAAGGGCATTTCCTAAAAAACCTGAGCTGAGTTGAGTTTAATTACTTACAACAACACCTTTTAACTTCCTGATTAAAACTTATCTTGTTCATTTTCATATTTAAGTGTTGAAGAGTTAACCTATGAGAGTTCAGATATCAGTCTTCTCTTCTTTCATTCAGAATGACACAAATAATAACCAACACTAAAAAAGCTGCAGGTGTTTGTCCTCATCAAAGGTATTTATGTGTCTTAAAGTCTTTATATGTGATTTTTCACACTTAAATGTAATAGAAATCAAGTATATCCTCTGAAAATAACTCTGTGAGTCATGACTGTCTACAATGGGTGTAACACCCGAGTCCCACTGTCTGTGATGTTTTCAGAGTTTTCAGAGTCCTATCTTCACTTTGTTTACATCGGCAGGACGGCCGGCTGACTCCTCCCCTCGTGTATAAAAGTTGTTTAATTGAGGGACTAGAGAAAAGAAGAATAACATACTGTACTCACTGCTTAACTGTGTTTCTAGATCACGCTCATTTCAGGTAAATTTACATGCAGTGTGAAGATACGAGCATAATAAAGATCACTAGCATTAGCATGCTAACACAACAATGCAGCGCAAGTTGTTTTGGTTTCATGCTGGTGCTCAAGGGCGACATCTGCTGGATCAAAAAAATCACATATAAAGCCTTTTTCTGTTATTTTATGCTAATGCTAAGTCTAGCTTCATATTTAGCATTCAAACAGAAAACTGCAAAAAAATTATGTTTGTCCAAAATATAAAAAGTGTTTTTAAACGTTTTCAACAAGTCACAATCACATCATCTTATGATAACATGTTGGTTTTAACTGAATCTTTAATTTTTGTTGGATCTGTTCTCCTCCGCGTTGTTTATTCGTATGAGGTGTAAAGAAACATTTTCTTATGCATAGGTCATGTCTGTGTTTAGGTTTGGTTAACCTTATTATCTGGCCTCAGTTAAATCGCTACTTTCAGCCTCTGCCTGAAACAGTTCATTTCAGCTGCTGTCCCTTTAAGTGCCCACTTTCCTCTGATTGGCCAGCTCTGTTTTCAGTCGCAGGGAAATTTGAGTGAGCTTCATGGTGTGTGTGTCCTTGACTGAGCTGCTGGGGTGTAAACATGCTACAACTGTGCTCCATGCTTTGCTCTGATACTTCGGGTTCTGGCCAAGTCTCACAAAGTTCTCGTAACATCTTGTTGGGGGCAGCAGGAAACCACGCCCAGTGACTACACCACCACACCAACAACTGTGTATCTTGTGTTTAAAACAATATGGCCGACGTTTAGTATGGACATCCAGCATTGTAACATTATGTGTACAGTAAATATTTAAATATGGATCAGCATAATAGATCTCTTTTAACCTTCCTCTGGCTGTTATTCAGTAGGTGGCAGATGGTAAACAGGGTTTACAAACCATTAAAGATATCTATCTCCCCTCTGTTTACGCTGGATAATCACTCTTCATGCTCATTTTTTATGTAGCACCTTGTTTCAAACTCACGGCGATTGCTCTCTTCCTCATCCTCTATCATTTAGACACAAACACTTGGCACATTACAGTGAGATTTCTGAAGAGAAGCAGCTGTTGTTGCAGCTACTCGTTCTGTGAGATTGGCCTCACCGCACTGTATTTATCAGTAGCGGGGTTTGTTCCTGCTGTGTTGTTTCTCCCTCATTTCAAAGCCATGCTGCTACTCTTTGTGTAATCAGTCTGAAGAGTGAAGCCACTTTGCGACACACAAACACATTCCTGCTCTGCATCACAATATCTGCCGCTGACTCATCCAGAGAGGGAGCAGATACTGGTTAGTTTATTAGATTTATTAATATTTTCCTTTCGACTGGAGCTTTTTGGGTCTTCATCCGTTTTATTTATAGGACTGGTGTTATATGTCTGAAAGAGACAAACTCAAGTGCTGTGACTTTGTTGTTTCTGATTGGGTTATGTTCCTTTAACTCCTCTTTGTGCTCTTATTTGATTGGCTTTTGTCACTCAAACAGGAAATGTGTATTCAATTGTTATTAATTTACTTTTATACCTTGTCATGTTTCCCAGAGTACTCCATCTGCTCCAGACCACTATTGCTTATTATCATCAATTGGATCCAGTGAATCTGATTGGCCCCTCTACAAGCACATGTCACATACTTGTTTATTTATGCTATCATTTGATTGGCCTGTGGTTAAGTCTTTCATGTAGAGGTTGTTCATTTAATAACATGTTTGTTTATTGATCTTGATTATAAAGCTTGATTTAGTTTGTGATTTTTCATTCTGTCCAGTGCTTCCCTTTTGATTGGCTGCACTAACCCATCCACTCGTCTGATTGGTCTAGCTGTTGACCAGGACACTCAGCTCCCTCCACTTAACCAGTGTCCCCTGTCACCTCCCATCCCCCTACTTTTGCCCCCTGCTGTGTTTGTGGTGTGTGGTTGGTTGGTTGGAGAGTTGTATTGACCAATGGGTGCTTGTCCCCCCTACAGGTGTCCTCCACACCGAACAACAAGACATCAGACCCCTCCAACCCAGCCGCCAAGGCCAGAGTGAGTCCCTACTACCTTGCACCCTCACACACAAGGACATCCTCCCACCTTCTCTCTGCATACACTGACATACACAGCCCACTCTACATCTTCTCAGGACACACCACACCCTCCTGTTTCTTTCTTTAACACTACACCAATCAAAAGGTAACACTGTAGTTTGCAATTTATATAAAGATTGTTTGACCTTAAAAATACTTTTCATCACTCCATTTGTGTGGGTTTTATTTAAATGAGCGTCTTGAGAGCAATGATCACTGTGGCCACAAGAATTTAATTTATAGACCTTTTTAATAATAACCTTTGAGAGGTTATTAAAGTGAATGATTACTCTTATATTGACCCGAGGTTTAGTATCTGTGACTGTAAAGGCTCCAGAAGTGGCCATCAGTACCAGGGGAAGTCTATATGTGGTGATGAGCCATTTTAATGTTAATGAATAGAACCCATCTTGGAATTGGACTTTACTCTGTTTAAATACATTTCTAAATGAAAGAAAACAAACACACATAAAGTAGTCTGGCAGGAATTAAAGCTCTGGTGCAGATCTATTTTTGGGAGTAAAGATCATCTAGGGTGTAGCCAGCCTTAGCAACCATCAGCATTGACCCCCTCACTGGAACATTAAGGATCATATCTTTTAGCTGCTTGAGGAAGCTTCTGCTGAAGTTAGGAAACCAAAGCTCAAAGAAAATATGGTGAAAATACCACAGAGGCACAGAAATATAGAACAAAAAGTGAAGAAAACAAAGTGCTTCTAATGTTGATGTGATTTTAAAGGTCCAATCTCTAAGATGAGTAGTGAGTGAAATGATAAAGTGACCTTACTGTTGAAGTGCTGGCTTCTCTGACAACAATGCAGCAGCCAGTATGTCCTCCTTCTAACTTTAGATTCTGCTCCTGAATGGTAGACGGTTTTAAGACACCCCACACGGCCGTTTTGGACGCCCCTCTGTTTGTCAGATATGAGAGCAGTTATCAGGTCAAACCAACAGGTGTTGCAGTGATGGAAGCGGTCAAGAGAAGTGGTTCAGATAGAAGTGATTGTACCCGACCTAAAAAGCCTCTGCATGTTTCTAATAAGCTCCATGAGCAGAAACGTGCTCAAACTAGGATCAATATTGGAGATGCTTTTGAAAAATGGAGAGAGGTTAGAACACAGAAAGGTTAACAGACCCATGCAGAGCTGGATAAACACTGAAGCTTCAGTGTTCACCACATGGTGACCTGTGTGAGCATCGACTCTAGAGAGGAGGGGAGACAGCTCTCTACAATGTTTTGAATTTGGACTGCAGTACCCATTTTAAACACTAGGTGTCAGAGTTACATATGGCTCCTTGAAGGCGAGCCTATTGGACAGTAGAGAGGTTTGTTTTAGTGTGGTTAATCTAAAAACCACAATTTGCTGTCATTTACATCTAATTTTCCAAATAATAAAATGAAATGAGCCACAGATATTTGTAAAGCATCAAGCAGAATACTTAACTTTACCAAAGTCACCATCTACACTATTCTAAATATCCGTACTTTTCAAAGGACACCCTGCTGGAACTGAGGAGTCACTTTACACCAACATGATAATATTTAAGCCAAATTTCATTCCCATGTTTTTACTATCAATAAACACATTTTACCACCACTAATAACACTATTCAACTAAAAACATGGCCTCTCCTTGTCTTTGGCACCTGATTTTGGGCTCTTGCTCTCGTCATGCAAATCCTCACAACTACGGCATGACGAGTGTTGTATGTCTTGAAAGCCACACATTTTCTTCTCATGTGTGTATCGTTACGTTTCTATGACGACAAGTCTGTAGTGTGAAAACATCAAAGATTACAGACACTGTCCACATGGATACAAAAGGAATCTTGAGAAGAAACTCAGACATGAATGACCTTGAGAAGTCATTGGATAGGAATTTAAGTCTGGATGCATTTCCCCAAAAAACTGTCACATTAGCCAATTTCTGTAGTTGTAGTAAAATGGGAAGATATTTCTCAGCCTCCTGCAGCTTCCCTTTTAACATGTCAGCATGAAAGCTGCTCCTCACAGAAATGAAGGCGGCATGATGAAGCAAAGACATGCAGCCTCCACAGGTATACTTAACTCAATAAGGATGTTTACAATGTGAGATTAGAAAGAAAAGGAAACTGTAGGTTCTGTGCATGCATGTGTGTGTGCGTGTGCGTGTGTGTGTGCTCAGTGAGTCATCCTTTGCCGGTGCCACCTGCGTCATTCCACCATTTTCATCCTAACAAAAAAGAGACCAAGACGGGGACGGGGGGGATGAAGACACCTTAGATTTTTTTGCTCTCACAACATGATGATTAAAAAAAAATTAAGTGAGATATTAAAGCAGTTGTTATCAGAGATGGGGATTCAAATTGTCCACATGTGCATGATAGGTCGATAGTTTCAATGACGCATGCTGCCCGTAACCATGCATTACCTTGATTGGATGTCTGCTAAAAAAAAAAAAAGAATGCTAATGCTAATGCTAGTTGTACAGTGACTGACTGAAGTGAACTAAGACTGATGAGACAAAAGCACTTCACAGGTTGCTGTTTCATAACATCGCTGAGACAGAATTACACCTATGCACTCACACATAGCATCCCTATAGGTATAGAGGTACGACGTGTGAACACACACACACACTCAGACAGGCGCATCTGTTACTACCTCCAATGACAAAGCAGAGGTCTAACGACTTTGTCCAACCTCTCCTGAGGTATAACAAGGGCTGTAAGTAGCACGCCTTCAAACGGCCGTAAGAGCCAATAGAAGAGCAGTTGATGTACTTGTATATGTTCCTGAATAACTAAAAAAAGTAAAAAGGAGTATTGTGCAATCACTCTACAGCCTGTAATCTGTTAAAGGTTTATTGAATATGACAAAAATAATAATTGTCTGTCTGACTTTCTGGTAGGTGTTTTCTTTGTGGGGGTTTTTATGTGTGTGTGTGTGTGTGTGGGGGGGGGTCTCTGTTCTCCAGGTCTCTGTCTCTGTAACTGCAAGAAGCAAATGTTTAGGAGACAAGGAGAGGGTGTCAGCCTCTGTCTCGTTGTTAGTCTGCCTCATGTCCAGTCTCTGCAATCAAACTGATGAACTGCAGGGATCAAGCACTCAAATCATTACTTTACACAGACCTGTATCTTGGGACTAGCCAAGATATGAATCTTTACACAGATAATAAAAAAAAACCTGCTCAGAAACCCAACAGGCACCAATTCACATGAATCCTCATTACAGTGACACGGCTGAACTGCAAGTCATTTTAATCCTACTTTGTCACTTGATTTGCACTTTGTGATTTTGGTATATGTAGTTCATCAGATGACTTTATTCATGAAGTCACTGATTGATGTCGTGTGGTTTGTGTTTATCCTTTTCTCGCACTTTTTTTTATTTTTTATTTTAATGAGTTTTTAAATAGCTGCATGATGTACAGAATACAAAATATAAAGCCAACCCATCCCTACCCAAACCCTCTTTATCTCCCCGATCCACCACCCAAAACCAACCTCAGTCCCACACCAATGCAATGCTTTTAACAACAATGATAGCATAGTGTCCTGTCTACATTTACACATATATTTATTAGGGCTGGGCAACGATTAAAAGTTTTAATCACGTTAATCGCATGAGTTCCTGTGATTAATCATGATTAATCGCATTGTTATACGCAAAATCCAATAATGAATTCAAAAGTAGTGTATAGCACACTTTTATTGTAAATGTACTTCTCAACTTAAACAATGTAATCAAAGCAAATAAATACAAAACTAAAGCTTATTGCATTCGTTGCAGTGTGGACACAGAGTGGTGTGGGTCTCCTCTTTGCTCTCTGACTGCAGCTGGGTCTGCTGCGCGAGCCTAGACATCGGCCCTTTTTCAAACCAAACCCTGTGACGGAGTGCACTCCGTCAGAAGTGACACTCTCAGCTGAATGAAGTGCCCTTCATCAAGATGTGGGGTAGAAATACAGTGGCAAGCTTTGGGACAAACTTCCCTCTCTTTTTGTAGCTAATGTATTCTGTAAAAATATTTATGTAGCCTAGATTATTCTTCTTCTTTAGTTATATTAGTGTAGACTTATAACAAAACTATTAGATTGAGCCTACATTGTTTATTGTAATTTATCATTTAAGTTAATTTATTGTAATTTATAGAACAGGGTGTCCTAAATTAATGCAAAGACAAGGATATTATTGTTGAACATCAGAGCAGCAAAAAGTGTATTTTTTGTTGTTGAATTGAGATTTCACAAAGACATCAAAAGTAGAAAAATAAGAAATAAATATTAACAGTGAAAAGTTGTCTACAACATGAGTTAATATTCTTTTGTTTTTACAACAGTCCCTGTAAATATAAAACACTTTACAATAAATAAACATAAATTTGATCCTCAGTACATATTTGAAGTTGTTAACGTCTGTATGAGGATATTAAATGTCTATCTTAGTTGGAGCAGTGTTTATTGACACTTGAACTCACATGTTGCTGTCTCCATGACGACCGGACACAATAGGCGTTGCACGTGATCCTAAAGTCGGCATCGGTGCACACTCGCTGGTGGAGGGTTTTATAACCCACTACCACTCCCCGCTAGTTGGTTTGGGACCCTCCGCGGGGACGCGCAAACGGAGGGGTAGGGTGTAGTGGCCGGTTTGAAAAGGGGCCCCTGTGAGTGCTTTTGGAAGGGGGAGGGGCTCACGGCAGCACCCGCTGCACGTTGAGGACAGTAACTGCAGAGCAATACGTGCTTTCACGTCAGTTTCTTACACCAAAAAAGTCTCCAATAACTCCAGAAAAAGTCGCTAGATTTGTCGCTAGTAGCTGTTGACAAAAAAAGTCGCCAAGGGGGTTTGGAAAGTTGCCAGATTTAGCGAGAAAGTCGCCAAGTTGGCAACACTGTTTCCTCTTTCCTGTGAGCGCCGCAGCAGACATGCGCAGCAGTAAACAACATACTAGGCTCGCTCACGACGGAATTTTACAAAATAAAAGCCAGTGAGCAACAGACTTTTACAATAAGAAAATAAATAATAAAAACTGCGTTAATGCGAGATAAAATAATTGTCTGCGATAATTAATTAATGAATTAACGCGAAAATAACGCGTTAACGTGCCCAGCCCTAATATTTATATATTTTACATAGTTTTGTTGATTTTAAATTGTTACTATTTTCACTTTTTAGAATTCCTTTAAAATAATTGCATGTATTTTACAGTTCTTTTAAAAGGGATTTTATATTTTAAAGTGATTTTTATTCCTTAATCTTGCCTTGTTTATTATTCTATGACCTGCCTGTTTTTATATTTGCTGTCCTTGTAAAGCACTTTGTAACTTGTTTTTGAAAAGTGCTCTATAAATAAAGATTATCATTATATACATACATTTATCCACATACAGTTAGTGAACACAAATAATCCAGGCATTTGCAGCTGCTCCTATTAAACTCCCATAATCATAAAGAGTGATACGTGTCATTCCAATTTGTTATCCCAGTAACAGTAGTGAAATAGGCGATGAATGCAAACCACATTTTTACTGAACTCAGCCTTTTTTCTTTCCTCGCTCTTTTAGTGTCGTTTTGTGTTATAACGTGTAAAACGGAAACCAGTATCCGGCTTTCCTGGTTTAATCCCTCCAAATCCCATGTGCTTAAAGTTTTTGCATCGCTCTTCATTCATTAGAACTGTAGGACTGGTGGCAGGGCAGAACAACATGCTGTTTGTCATGGCGGCATCCACCTGGAACATCTTCTGTCTTTCATCCTCCAGTAACCTTCACGTTGCAGTTGCTTTTCTCTGAGTAGAGCAGCATGAGTTAACACCAAATCACTGACCTGTAACGTTGTAGTACTGTGTTGCATGTGCTCTGTCTCCTCCTCCGGTGTTCGTCCTGTTGCTTTGATCAGTTTGGTGATTGCTGTTTATGGAAGCGCTCTGTTGTTAATCAGTCAGTTTCCTCATCTTTTTGGTACTCCTGCATTCATTTTTTTTGTATAAGAACTCACAAACATTTTCCAGAAGAATCTCGTCTGTTGCATATTATATATATTATATCCATATAAGTCATTAAACAATGCCATGTTTTGACCAAGTAATGACATAATGCAGACAATCACTGACCTGGTGTGAAGAGGAATCGTTTGATTTGAATGACAGAATCTCTTCCATACTTGCAGAGCAGGGCTACTTCCTGTTTCCTGTTTACCTGAAGCCGCCAGCTGATCTGCTCTTCTCTGCTGCTCTTGTCTGTCTGCTTGTCATTCCTTTTGTTTTTATTTTCCTTCTTTTTTTTTTCCTCCTTTCATTTCCCTCTCTTATCTCCTCACTTCCTTGCTTGTCTCTGTGTGTTTTCGTTGTGTGTCTGCCTGCTTGTCTTTAGGTTCAGGTAGTGCACAAAAAGCTGGACTTCAGCCATGTCACGTCTCGCTGTGGCTCCAAGGACAATATCAAACATGTCCCTGGAGGTGGCAAAGTAAGTACTGCTGGAGCTGGAGGCAGACTCTGCTAGGGTGGTTGCATATCAAAATTTCATGCAAATTCGGCTTAAAGTCATATTTTGTTTTAAAGGGGGGTGAATAAGGGGCGTGTGGATGCATGATAAAACCTCTAACATCGGGCTTTATTCACATCCAAAGTTGTTAAGCTTTCAACATTATAAACACACACAGCCCTCGCGTAAGAAATCATGAGGGGGAAGAATGTTTCCTTGAATATCCAACATGTCCATCACAAGGTTTATCTAAGTAAGACAGAACCCTGTGATGAGTTCTCGGCTCCCTCTGTTTGCCACTGGGATTGATTTCAAGTTTAAGTGAACAGATTAGATGTCGCTCTGCCCACCCTTCCAGATGTTTTTTACCATCTGCTCTAAACACCTGCTGCACTATCAAATTCTGTCTCTGGGCTGCTTTCACAATCACAACTTTGCTTTGTCTATGATCAATTTAACAAAAAGATGTGTGCACAGTGGATTTGTCCGAGTACTGTACTCTAATATGAACCCAAAAAACACGCTTCACAACATCAGCAAGTGCTTCACACAAGACATCAAAAGCATCATGACAGAGGAAAGAAAAGAAACATTAAAATAGAATATTTAAATATTAATGAAATTATTAAATCTGAACATATGTTCAAATAAAAATAATTCAAATTATATTAATTTACATAAATAAATAAAAATATAAAAAGAGTTAAAAGTTACAGTGCAGAGTATAAGTTTAAAATCTTATTAAAATTGTTTAATGAAAGGCAGCTGTAAACAGGTGTGTCTTCAACCTCGATTTAAAAGAGCTGAGAGGTTCAGCAGACCTGCAGTTTTCTGGGAGTTTGGAGCTGATCATGGTCTTTCTGCTGATCAGTTTGAACAGCTCCAAGGTTTAAAGTTGACTGACTGTTAGTGCTCCTGGATGTTATTAAATATGTCAGTATCACACACTGTCAGGTAGGTAACCTGCTCTTTAAACCCCATCATACCAGCTGCCATCAGACTGATTAGACCTGAACACAAACTCTCATGATGTGAGGATAGATTAATAACCGCTCCTCACATTATCTGATTTATTGGCGTAAATTCCCCTTGAGCTCATTTACCCGCCTAAAAAAGATTTTAAAAAGCACCTTTATTACAACACAACAGGTTAATGTAGGGAGTAAAGCATTGTTACATTGTCCTGCATTTGCTGTGTTTTATCCATTCTTCCTGGTATTGCATCGCTTTTGCATAGAATCTGATCTCTATCTCTCGTCGAGCGGCAACAAGTCTAGAAAAGTCTATTTATAAATGCTCCAGGTGCATGGTAGAGTGGAAGTACAGCTTGTGTAGGATGTGGGGGTCTTAATGAGTTTGAATCTCCTCCTCCTCCTCCTCCTCCTCAGGTGCAGATCCTGAATAAGAAGGTCGATGTGAGCAAGGTGACGTCCAAATTGGGTTCCAAGGACAACATGAAATATAAGCCAGGTCATTCTCTGCTTTTGTTTCTGATTTCCGTCTGTGTTAATGTTTTTGTTTTGGTATCACACCAACTGTAAGTTTTTGCCTCAGGTGGAGGGGACGTGAAGATTGAGTCGCACAAGTTAAACATTAAAGCCAAGTCAAAGGTCGGATCCATGGACAACATAGGGCCGGGAAACGGACAGACCAACGGACATAAGGTCAGACTTTAATTCATTATTTATCATCACAGACTGCTCGCTTTTCTACTTCTGCTGACTCACTGTGCTTATACCGCCAAACACCACTAGATGGTGTGGTAGCATGAGGTAGTGCTCTCTAAAAAAAAAGCATACCGTGTGTGTGTGTGTGTGTGTGTGTGTGTGTGTGTGTGTGTGTGTGTGTGTGTGTGTGTGTGTGTGTGTGTGTGTGTGTGTGTGTGTGTGTGTGTGTGTGTGTGTGTGTGTGTGTGTGTGTGTGTGTGTGTGTGTGTCTATATTTGGCAACAGGAGGAGAAAACAGAGGAGAAAACATCTTCACCCCCGAGTGGCGCTCCAACAACAGGACCAGCAGGCGTTGCCAAGGCAACCGCACCAGGAGGTGTTTCTAAGGAGAACGGGGTGAAGGAGGCTACGACTAATCCTTTTGGGGGAGATGGACTGAGGGAGCCCCTTAGCATAGACAAACGCATCACTGAGACAAGTACGTATATAAACACAGACGCTACAACAAAGACGTCCGTTCTAAACACATTAAATGCTCGTCTGTGATTGGAGCAAAGGAACCCTCCGCTAAGGATTGTTCCCAGAGTTTCTTCACCTTTCAGACTTTCCAGTTTAGCCTAGCTCATCAACAGTTTGGCAGATAACAGTGGCGGATTCACTGCCAATAATAAGCATTAGTTCATTTCGAACATTTTTTTCAAGAGGTTTTCTTATTTATAGAATAAAGTTGTTTCTATCTGCTTAAACAAACAAACCTGCTGCTTGTAGGTTTTATAAACTGTATTGTAAGATAATAGTTTAAACTAAAACTCTTTTATCAGCTAGTGCAGGTGACACTTTGACAAGAAGACAGAAACACCACTCCAAACTATTCATAGCTTTCACGTGACATCACACTTTAATGGCACCGCCCACCTGGAGGGCAAGAAAGGCTCTCTACCACTGTACACTACTGAGAAGTTACTGGTCTCAGTGGCCCCTTACGTGTTTTTGTCTGTTTTATTTTTGAATTTTTGTGATACACTAACCAACGAGGAGACGAGCCCGAGTTTTGCTTCTACAGAATTTAATCCGAGAAAAAATACAGAAAGGAGGACGTTTGTGGATTAGAGTTAGACCCTCCGCGGCCCCTGTGAGGGGAAACATCAGACTTCTCCTCATCCTGACATTAAATATAGTGTTGACTAAATCTAAATATTCCTGCCGTTAACTCAAATTACTGCCCCAGAACACTAAAATTGACAGCTGATACTATCGCTAGGTAACGCTAACTAGCTAATGTTAGCTAATTAGCACTAACCGATGCTTGAATGATGAGGAATTCTAGCGCAACAAATAGTGTCCCGTGTGCTGTTAAGGTATCACAACTGCCCCAAACTTCAAGTTTATCTTAATATCTTAATTTTGCTGTGGTTGTCAGGTGATATAAACGTGTCGTTTATAGGAGATGTTAAATTAAAAGCCCGTCCTGCAGTTCTTCAACGGTGGCCGTTACTTTCCTGAGCATTTTTTGCCCTCCAGCCCGCCGCGCTGGTGACGTCACTGAAAGCTTTGAATTGGTGTTCCAGTCTGTGAGGTCACATCAGGTTTCAGCGTTGCAGACGCACAGCACAGCGGGAGCTACTCATAGACACAGAGTCAGACATGCGCACACACACACACACACACACACACACACACACACACACACACACACAGAGCGCTGCGCTCCCCCGCTGGCCCGGCTGAAACCTCCTCACCTCTGTAACGCCTCTTTTACTACCTCTGAAGATGGTACAGAGCGGGGATCACTTGAAGGCGAAACGTCACAAAGGAGTAAATATAGCTGCTTGAAACGGCAGTCTGAATAGAGCTTGAGATTCTGTTAATTGCTCAATTTTCAAAACACTGCACTTATCTTTTGAAAAGCCTTTTACAGTTGGGACACTTGATAGCTTAGCGGTTTTGTTGAGTGCCCCATATAAGGAGCCTTCAGTCCTCCAGCAGGCGTAGGTTCAAATCCAACCTCGGCCCTTTGCTGCATGCCATCCCCCGCTCTCTCTTTCCAACATTTCCTGTCTCTCTTCGGCTCTCCTGTCTAATAAAGGCAAAAGGCCTAACTTAAAAAAGTTGCTTCGCTCTCTTCCTGATGGAGCTCATTTCTATCCACAAACAGATGAAGAGTCCAGAGGGGAGGGGACACTTTAATTGTAACTTCTTTACACATCATCATCATCGTCGTCATACAACTGGTATCACTTATAACAAATCGAGCCAATGAGAGCAGCTCATCCAGTTTAAAAGCGCTCAACTCTTTGTTTAAACTCCACATGCTGACAAAGTGTGTTTGGAGTTGAGCCACTGACAGACCCTGACAAATGTAATCCCTGATTCTACTTACGATAATAAATAATAGTAATGTTAGTATAGTAATGAATATGAATGAATAGTAATGAAGGTGACATTCTGTTTGTACAGATAATTTAATTTTAGGTCATAAAAAGGTGGAAATGATGTCCTGATCACAGGAGCGTCTGGTCTGAGCACATCACCCATTCAACACTTCAGCACCTTCTGTCACTCAACATGAACGCAGCTATTACTGCGGCCGTTTGTGAATATGATGGTTTTTTTGCAGTGAATCTTATTTGCATAAAATTGACCATTTGGGCTCAAATGAATGCGTAATGGCTCGTTTTAATAATTGTATATTGCACCGAAGCAGGGAGGCACTGTTCGGTGTTTTATGAGTGAGATGGTGTTTTTTAGTCATTTTCTCAGGTTTATTAGTTTTAAAAACCATGCAATCCTAATGAAAGTCAGGCCCAGACTCAGTGTAGGCTCTTGTACACTGAAATCCAAACCTTTCCAGGGTTGACTGGCGCTGGTTTCATCGTTCGGGGGTAAAAACTACAGAAACAACTGAGAATGGAAAAATCTGAGTTTGTGTGTGCATGTATGTTGCTGTGTGTTTGGGTGCATACGTGCGCCCAGCCAGCTGTCTGATGGAGGGAGGTGATAAAAATAGCCAAGGTTTTGTTACTAAATTGAATCATGGACAGGTCTGCAGAGCCAAGAATGGATAAATCCATCTCTGGCTCTGCAGCTGGGCTCCAGACCCCCTGAGTTCAGAGGGACCACAGACTCCCTAATTGATGGATGGCTGTAGTGATGGTACAATACAAAATAATTCATATAAACCTGCCTGAAACAGAACCGCCTGGCAGTTAAAGTTTCATCTGTTGAAATGTCCACTCCTGTCACAGCATAACTTTTTTTTACCAGTTTCCTAACTTCCTGTTTGCTCTGTTTCTTCCCCTCTTACAGATTGAGTCTCAGTGACATGTAGATTTTGGTGGGACGGGCATGACCCTCGCCGACCTGCCAATCAAACCGACCGACCAAACCCACCACGGCGCAGTCACTTTCCTCCGGCCCCGCCCCTTCATCTCGCCCACCGCAGCACCGAAACTGACCGATCGCCTCTCAGTGTTTCTCTAGGGGTCCACCTACAAGCTTCCTGCTAACCAACCCTGACCTTTGACCTCTAGATGCCATTCTGTTAACCAGTGGCTCTGCCCACAACAGAGAAGAGCACTTGGTGTCTTTGTCCGTGTTTCTCTGTGCAGGGTCCAAGTGTTTTCTCCACTGTTACAATTCCCCTGACAGCTCAACAAAATAATCACTCAAATGAAAATGACTGCACTGAATTATTCTGATCCCAGCCACTTTTCTCATTGAGTATTTCTACCATGCATATCCCTAAAGCACAGCATGCTGCCTCTGTGGTTTATAAAATGTCATGATTCTCACAAGCAGCAGTAAAAATGTGCAGGGACAGGCGCTTCTGTAGAGCAGAGAAGGTGTTATCTGAGAAGTTTAGAAATAGATCAAAAAGAATGGACTTAGATCTTAGAGTAAAAAAAAAAAAATCAGTTTCTGTGTCAGCATAGGATTCCAGTCCTCCTGCTCTGACTAATCACTTGATCCGGACCCTTGCACATATATATGACCCCTGACCCCCAGCGGAGAGAGACGGCAGACGGACACGCTCAGTGCTCTTCTTCTCTCTTGTGACACACTTCATTTCTTGGTCATGTGGTTTCACCCCAGTGAAGAGAGGGCAGGGCTGTAAGAGCTTCACCCTCTTTCAAAGTCCTCCCTCTAGTCAGTGCGTCAGAATCCTCTCTGAGAGACCTGCTAACTCTCTTCACACAATAACACAGAAGCACAGATATATATAAATATATATATACAGGAAAGCACACACATGCTTGTTGGTGTGCATGCACACATACACAGACACAAACAGAGATCAGCACATTTACACACAGACAGTATCACACACACACACACACACACTGACACACATCAGTCAAACAAACACAGTCAGCTCGTCATGGCTTCATTTCTCTGTCCTGGAAAGAAATCGCCTCTTTATTGTGTTTTTGGTGGTATCTGCTGATATTGTTAAAACAACGATGAGCTGTGTTGGTGCATCCCCCCCCCCCTTCATAGTCTCACATTGTCATCATAGGCTTGCCTCATCCTGCCCTCTTTCTTGTGTGCTTCCTCTGTCTGTCTTTATCTCCAACTTTGTGACAGCAATACAGTGACTGTAGTCGGCGACGCCCCCTTGTTAGCCCTGCGAACAGATTTCACACGAATAGAGAAAGACAGACGGGCGGAGAACGACCACGGGTACGACGCATAGTTAAGCGGAGGAGGAAGACCTGTAAGCTTTATGGATTCATGTGACATTCATGGCAAGTCTGAAGTTGGCATTATTAGCAGCTTTTTAGTGAGTCAGTGATTTATTTACTAGTGACTGTGCGGTCGATGGAGGGGTTTTAGCACACCACGTGAGGTGACTACGACACGGTGACAGCAGTTTGTAGTGTCTCACATATTTCCCTCAACATCTGTAGTGTACATAGACGCATTATAAATTCATCCTTTCCTCCTTTTTTTTTTGTTCTTTATAGAATATAACTTGGTTATACAAAAATCATTGAAACTCTTTGAGGGGTTAAATGTGTTTGAAATAAAAAATAAAGTTACTTCACGGGAATACATGAACTGATTAACCAGGAAACGCCATGAACGCAGCAATACGTCAGAAAGGCAGAAGCAACATCCAAACGCTCCTTGTAGAGGAACAGTTTGTACTTTTTTTTTTAAGACGATAAAAGTCTTAAAAGGTTCGTACACTGGAAATCTAAAGCGTTGGTTGAAGATTTAAAGCGATGGTCGATGAGTACGTTTTGATCCGCTTTCACAGACGTTCAACATCTTCAGTGATCTATCGAGAAGAAAATATTTAAACCTTTTTTTTATTTTGTATTGATTTAGAAAGCCAGCTTAATACAGTTTTTTGCATTTTCCTCCAACAATGCTGTGATGTGACTTTGATTTACACACCAGGAGCGTAAAAAGCAGACAATATAATGGAGAAGGTCATATCTACTCACTGTAATTCTATGCATTTTTGCACCGCTAGGGAAGGTCTTCACTGAAACTCTGAAGGATTAGCGACGTGTTTGTGACTTTTTTGCCGTAGTTGTCAGATGTGTGAAGTGTTACTACTGCATCCATCCTGTAGGGAGCGCTGTTAGCCTCTGGAACACTGATAGTCTGGCTCTGAGACTTCACAAAAGGCTTGCTGAGAAACATCCCCACTAAAGGCGCCTCAGTAGAGTTACGTAAATGTTCTCATTCACACAAGCTTTTTGATGGCTGTTATATTATTGTGTCTGGAATACTTAATGCTATCAAAATCATATGAATTATGTACAGCTCCCCTTAAAACTCTCTAGTCTTTGTGCACCTTGAACACAGTCTTGTTCCTCTCTCCCGACGCACTGAAGTGATTCTAAAAGTTGCTTTACTGTATATCGGTCAAACATTGTCAGCTGTGTACTGTAAATGTGTGCTTCTGGGAGCAAAAAACAGTCTTGGTAGCTAGAATAAATTATTATAATCAACGAGACGATGATCAAGCGTTCAATGAAAACTAGACAACTAAAAGCACCACATAGGAATATTGAATATTGTCCTGTTTTTTTCCAAATCATTCCCGTGAGAGTTGCCTAACTTATATGAAACATGACGTATGTGTGGATCATATGCAACTATGATGATGTGAATCTTTCTTGGGGGGATAGAAGAAGAAAGGGACGAAAGCACTTTTGAGAATTGTAGACAGTTGTCTGTATATAAGTAGGAACGAGTAGTAGTCTTAATGTTTGTTTGGAAGAAGCTCGGTGTGTCGCCGTGTGAGGGGATGACATGAGGTTATGTGTCCCTTCATCTGGGTCAGCTTCTGAGGATTTTAGTGGAACTTTATTCATCAGTGTTGTTCTGTTGGCTCTGATACTTTCAACACTCAACTCTCCAGTCTGCCCTTATGTTGTTTCTGTCAACATTCACTGGTTACTACTGTTTGACCGCGCTGCAAAGTCACACTCCCAACTGGGCGAATTTCTGTTCCCGATCAGAAAAAGAACGAGAGCTGAACTATGGCCGGACGTGTCAGAGATGGAATCAATTCAATCAATCGATTTTTATTTGTATAGCGTCAACTCATAACAAGTGTTATCTCAAGACACTTTACAAAAAGCAGGTAAAAGACCTTACTTATTACTATGTTACAAAGACCCGGCCTATCCATCATGAGCACTTTAGCAAAGCAGCAAAAGTTACAGTGGTAAGAAAAAACTGTCTTATTAAAAGGCAGAAATCTTCAGCCTGATCCCCGGCTCATGACGAAACAGCCTTCACAGGCCTAGACTGCGCCGGACTTGGAAAGAGATAGGGGGAATAGGGAATTAGTTTCCATCCTGTAGCATTTTGGAGACATTCATAACCCTAACACAGTTTCAATGCTGCATTGTTAATTTATTACAAATGAGAAAAAAACATCCAGATGTAAGGGTTTATTCTGCAAACTGTAAAACAGATTCAAGATTGACTCAAACTCGTGCAACTCACATTGGGACAATTCTGAAAGGTAGACAGCATCGCTTGAAAGGAAGTGGGAGATGTTAGCCGGACAGCTAACAGGTGTTTTGTAAAGTGATGTCGTTAATGAGGAGCTTTTTGAATCTGTTTTTATAGTTCATGAATCTACAGGCCAATGGCGTTAAAACACTTCAAGTGAAGGGTCATCGTTTAGACTCGGGTGCAATTTTGACCCCTTTGAGGGGTTTCGACTTTTGTGAATTTAACATTAAAGACAATGAGAAAAGCTCCCACCAACTGTCTTACATCATGCTGACACATGTATGTGATCATTCATCATGTGATCATAGACCGACACGTTGTATGATCAATTTGTCAGCATAAAGCGAGACAGTGTTCAGTGATTTTCTCGTTGTCTTTAAGCTTTTAATCTGTCACACATTCAGTTGTGCAGAGACATTTTTCAACACATAACCATTTTATTCACACTTAGATGGCCCCGAAATGTGCAATTTGAAAATGTTACGCTCCAGACGGGCTCTTTTGTAAAGTTTCTTGAGATGACATTTGATATGAGTTGGCTCTTTATAATTTAAGATTGATTGATTCAGTTTCCTTCAACAAATTTCTCGGACTTTAGAGATGACTGTTTACGTTTCTGGAAGGCCGGTTTTCTCTTTTTAGCTAAATAAATACGAAATGAAAAATCGCTCTGCATCAACCAGGGCGTCTTCAGGTTATAGTCGATCTTGAGCCGTTGCATAAAAAGCTTTGTGACTTTGAATCGATTTGTTGTTTAATGTTATGAAAGGTGATTTGATATCCAACACCTGATGCCTCATTACTAACCTGTTTGGTTGTCGGTGGATTAAAGGTGAGCTTTGCAGCCTGGACAAAGAGTAATAACCAGATTCGCTCACAGCTGTTTGGTACCCCATTATAGCGCTTGAATACCCCCCTTCCACCAGTACCTCACCAGCCCTTGTATATAGTTCCCACCATGTTTTTATCACCCCAGAAGTATCTCAAATAAATAATAATAGAAACACAAAAAAAAAGACAAAAAAAAAACCTGACTTCTTAACAGGCTGTTGTGGATGTTGACAGATGAGCTTTGGCGTTCATAAACCCGTTAACGTTTCAGATCAATAATGGTATTATTATTAAACGGTTGATAGCAAAAGAAAGGAAAAGTGTACTTTTTCTTTTTTTCAGTCTGCCTTTTTTCCTCCAAGAGAAGGGCTTCTGAAGTTTCAAGAATGTTTTTCAAATGTGTTAAAGATGCAAGATTATGAATACATGTACGAGGTCTGTCTCTGTTCTGTTTTTGGAAGATCGGTCACACATGGAAACACTTTATTTACCGGATTCAAAGCGATGGGCAGGAAGGGGGAAGACCGTGTGTCTGGTTTGCTAAATGGTTGAGAAAAATTACTAATAAACTTGGGGCATCGCACAAAGCAAATTCTGGAAAATTCAATGAAGCGCTTCTGAAATAGTCAGCAGCCATTTATGAAACATAAAGTCAAAATCTGATTGGCTTTCAACATCTGTTTGAAATGCACAACTGTACATGTTACACCAGACGCACACAGGTCAGAACCTTTCTCCCGCCTACCCAACACTTCCCCCCGTCAAACTAACCGGCCTTTGTCTTGGCATGTGGTAGAAGATACCGTTCTGTATTAGACAGCTCCTCTATAGACACCTTGACGTATTTACCAACACAGAACTGAAAAAAGCAAAGTTTTGGACCAAATTCCCTTCTCAGTGTCCATTACAAAAGGCTAATAATGTGTTTAAAATAGCACTATTTAAAAACATTTATGAACAAATGAAGGACCGCTGAGCTCAAACAATCACTAAGTTTGAACCAGATCCGTCTTTATGTCAAAGACAGCGAACTGTCCGGATCATAAACGGGAGAATTGACTCAAATGAAGTGTTGGTAGATATGCACCCGGAGCCCCTAACTATGTCTCCCACCTACAGAGGCCTGTAAGAATCACAGCACCGAAAAGTAGCTTTCCTTTTGCACGCTTTGGGCAACTATCGGATAGTTGTCCTGTAAGAGTAATTAAGGACTCTGTTTGTCATACTTGTTGTACTTTGTTTGTACTTTGGTCAGGGGGCATCATCTACATGCCCACCACAGCTGACATTACAAACCGATCGCAAAACAAGCAAAAGAATCTACTTTTCCGTCCTGTGCAGTGGATCCACTGTAGTGTGTGCTGTATTATGCAGTAGGGCACAACACCATAGCAAGAGCATGCAGAAGACAACGAACAATCTGCTGGTTGTTAGAGGCATCTGTCCTTTTAGATAGAGCTCATCTCCCCCCCTTCAATTCTGAATATTTGGTATGAAAGAAATGTTCATTGTGATTCATTGTTAACCAGTGATGTGAATATTAATCATAAAATAAAAAGATGAGCAAAATACCTCACAGTTTCAGAGTTGTGTAATTTCTTTCACATTAATGCACATTATACACGATCACTGTTTTAATGGATGATTTATTTTATAAAGTGTTTTACAATGGGTACCTAAAATAAACAGTCAATATTTCAGTGTTGCCACATTTCTCTAACACTAATATGTGTCTCTAGTCTGTCTACAAACCCTCCAATCATAAGAAAAGTCCATCCCCTCCGTCTTCTGCCTGCTCCACTTTTCAGAAAATGTCTGCTCAAACAGGCCGTTTGGAGATTTTCCCTTCATGACATCACAAAGGGCAGTAACCCCTCCCCCAGGTGGGTGACACTCCCACAGCTAGGTGTTTGTTCTGCCCTCTGAGTCTGCCTTCTCACTGTAAACCATAGAACATGGAGAGAGAAAGACCGAGACACCCAAGTCCTTCCAGTTTATAGACATGATCAAATACAGGATCGGAGTGGATTCAGAACAAGAAACTTCACACGTGTTTTGAGGAGCTCTGAGACTAATTTAAACTGGTTGATGAGTAGGAGAATATGTGACCTTTAAAAACGTGAAATTATTTGGTACATCACCCATATAATTTGAAAACCAGCTGTAATAAACAGATTTAGGTCTTCTGTCGAGGTAGATCATGACCTCAAGTGAATGTTTCATGATGAAGGTATACTGCTGTTACATAAGGGTTCCCAACCCGATGTATTTTAAAAGTAATTTTCCTATCTTACTAATGTTATGAATGAACGTTTAAATAGAAGATCTGTATTTTCTTGTTCTTAGAAAGGCTGTGTTTGTCTACTTTTGAGGCCCACAAGAAATGTCTGTTTTCTGTGTTTGCTATTTAGACAAAAATTTTAAATAAACTCAAGACACCTGTGCCCTAATAAAAGGAGACGTGTTCAGTGAAGACATCCCTTGCACCAGTCATGCCTTTTTTATCCTACTGAGAAGTTTACATAACCTACCCTATGGCCATTAGCAGCCACCGCAACCAAAACAGCATTGCCACCTTCAACAGACCCAGGCTCCGTACATACAAGTGAGGACGTTGACACTATCCTCCACATGACCCCTCTTGCCCCTTCCCAAGTTATCCATGTAGACCGATGAGCAGCAAGAGCCAGGTCATCACCAGAGTTGTCAAGTGCAAACCTCCCTTCACCAGTTTTTTGCCCAATTAGTGCAACCACAACTCGAAGAGGCCGGACAGTCCCA